ACAGGGGGGGGGCGGGGCGCAGGGTGCTCCCCTCCCCCCCCCCACATCCCCAGGCAAGAGGCCTGTTCCCTGTGCACCAGGTCTTGGTGACAGCTCCCCAGAGGGTCCAGGATTCTGTAGCTGGGCTGGGTGGTGCTGTGTAGGGCTGACAGCGCTTCTGACCCCTGGTTCAGATGCCAAGCACCTGAAGACACTGTCCCTGTCCTACAACATCCTGGGTACCACAGCCCTGTCCCAGACCCTGCAGAGCCTGCCCGGAGGCCTGTTCCCTGTGCACCAGGTCTTGGTGACAGCTCCCCAGAGGGTCCAGGATTCTGTAGCTGGGCTGGGTGGTGCTGTGTAGGGCTGACAGCGCTTCTGACCCCTGGTTCAGATGCCAAGCACCTGAAGACACTGTCCCTGTCCTACAACATCCTGGGTACCACAGCCCTGTCCCAGACCCTGCAGAGCCTGCCCGCCCAGACCCTCCTGCACTTGGAAGTCAGTTCCATGGTGGCCAGCAAGACTGACTCGGGCCTGGTGGAACCCGTGGTCAGATACCTGACCAAGGTACATGGTTGGGCCAAACACCGAGCCACGGGAACCCTGGGCCACCTGGCCGAAGTCTGGGCAGGGGCAGGGACGGGCTGGGAGAGCGTTGCAGGTTCTGAAGAACAGCCTTGGGGAAGCTCCCTGACCTGGGCTGTGGATCCCAGGTGGCCCCCTGGCCCCCAAGCAGGTCCAAGGGAATGTCAGGCCTCCCAGTGCTCTTTCGGGGGTACTTCCAGGCGGGGCGGGGTACCCATGATTCTCAAGTCATTCTGATCTGCAAATTGAGGGGATATGGCTTCCCTCTGATGCCCCCTCACCCCCAAGAAAGAAGGAAGTTGTCTGCCCTCCGCTGTGTGGGCCTCTGGGAGGCAGGGAGGACAAGCACCCACTCACCGCAGCCTTGGGCCTCTGCTGTCTAGGAGGGTTGTGCCCTGGCACACTTGAACCTGTCTGCAAACCACCTGGGTGACCAGGCCGTGAGACACCTGAGCAGGTAACCACCCTGCCCGTGCCCTGCTTCCTGAGGGGGTTCTGATCTCCAGGCCCAGGAGCCTTGGGTTTGGGGGGGCACTAGTCAGGCAGGAAAGGGGAGCAAAGGTGGTGCCAGCTCCCTCCTAAATGTGCCCCAAGCCTGGTCACTACAGCCTTGGCCCCTGGCAGTGCCCTGACAGCTGTGGAGGAACAGCTGTGCCTGTGCCAGGCTGGGGGCAAGACCTGTTGGGCTTATTAGCTTGGCCCACAGAGCAGGGGGTTTGTCTGGAGCAGCTTTCCCTAGTGATGGGGGCCTCCCTCCCTGGAAACTGACCCCTTCACTTCCCTCACCCCAGATGTCTCCCTCTGTGCCCCTCGCTTGTCTCACTGGACCTCTCTGCCAACCCTGAGGTCAGCTGTGCTGGCCTGGAGGAGCTCCTGTCCGCCCTGCAGGAGCGGCCCCAAGGCCTGAGCTTCCTGGGCCTGGCAGGTGAGCTCGGGATGGGGGCCACATCTGCCACACCAGGGCTGGGGACACAGCTTCCTCCTCAGGGACCTGCCTGCAGCCCAGGTGCCTCTTTTGAAGAGGCTGGCACTGCCAGTGGCCAGAAGTTGAGGGTGGGCTGGGCCCCTTGCAGCTGACAGGACAGGTAACTGGAAGGGGGCAAAAGCTGCCACTAAGGGACCTTCCCAGTTCTTGGCAGGGGCCCCTGTGGCTTGTTCTCACGGTGGGCATGCCCGCAGTACACAGAGCTGTCTTGAGGGTGACCCAGGGGAGCCTGGCACATTCAACTGGGGCAGGACGCTCAGCTCTGCCCTCCAGCTGGACGGGCTGGGAATTGGGTGCTCAGGGGCCTGGTTCTTCCTGCTCCTCCAAGTGGCAGATTTCCCACCTGGCCTCCTGAGGTTCCACCTTCACCAAGCCCCTTGGGGTCCTGAGTGTATCAGGCCCGAGACTCACAGGCACCCCTACTGTGTGCACGTTATGGATGGAAAGACCCAGGCGTTGTCATGGACACTCGGGGGCACAGATGTGGACGCAGTTTATTTCAGCCACCCTCCCTCCTGCCTGGCCGCCTGGGAGACCACACCCTTCCTCCAAGGCCCCCACCTCTCCGGGCATCTGGTCACCAGGAAGGAGGACGCATACGCGGGCTGGGAGCACCCTGGGGCCCGGCTCCCGCAGGGCGGCCTGGCTTTGTGGGGAGCAGCTCCCTGAGGCCTGCTCCCTTCTCCCCCCGCAGGCTGCACTGTCCGGGGTCCCCTCGGCCCCGGCCTCTGGGACAAGATCGCCGCGCGGGTGCAGGAGCTACAACTGTGCAGCAGGCGGCTCTCC